GAATTCATTTTGAAAGGTTGTGTATCAAGTTGTGCCAAATGGCGCCTGGATGAGTGCTACGTTTGTTGCGATTAGGGCCTTCTTTACCTTTACAGATGGTTTTTACGAAAGCAGCCTTCTTGCAAACAAATGTTTCATAGTACTACTCCTACTTCTTCAATGTAGGGTAAGGTCAAAATCACGATTTCACTAGAAATTTGTCTCTAGGGGTAGTTTGAGCTGACAGATCCCATCTTCTAAAGATGATCTTGCAAATCCTTCTGTATTACTGATAGACCGTTAGCGTATCCGGACGCTGCTGTCGGATCTGTACCGCTCGTGATTTATTTTGCAACATCGTTTAGGTAAGCGGCATAGATTTGAAGCAGTGTCCTAAGACACATGTGGTGCCAATTTCGTTCCAAACGACAGCTTCGACCTATGTTCCTTCCATTGTTTTAATGGAATATCAGGGTTCTGATTTTAAATTTGTTCCTAATTGTTAACTGCAGTTTTTGGCCGCAGTTCGCTTTGCGAATGTTTCACAAGAATGCTGGGTTGTGAACAAAACTTTCGCCCCAGGCGGGACTAGAACCCGCACCTCTCGCTTTCCGGGCAAGTGCGCTACCAGTTACGCTACCGGGGCACCATTTCATCCAACTCAGCTTTTCATGGTATATTTACCATAGCTTATCACCACTCACACGTATAACGTGGTGAGTTATACGTCGAGTCCCGCCTAGGGCGAAAGTTTTGCTCGTCACTCAGCGCTTTCGTGTAACTTTGAGCATTTTCAAAGTTGTGCTTTCATAACGGCAATTGCCACTGTTGCTACCATTCCAGGAACTTCGTGCCGAATTCTTAGCTGAACGCACCGAGTTCAAAGCTTTAGAAATTCTCAAACGGATGGTAGCGATAGATGTGAGACAGGTTGATGAGTAAGTTTCTCTTAGTTGTTTAATTTGTTTTTGAGAACTGTATTGAACCTTTTTTTAGGAATGCCTGGCTTGATTGCAAAGATCTCATAGCGATGCTCTTAAATGCTATTCCAGTTCAAACTTTGCTGGAAACGCAACAGGTAGGAAAGACGATATTGGATCATTTCATTACTCCACACATTCGTTGGCAACTTGGAGTGCGGATCGGGTAGTGGATGTTTGAACACAGGCACAACCAACCAGCTGCTCAGCACTTACAGTGATACTCATTCATCAAAATGAGCTGATATTGTTTCTGTGTTACCC